CTAATATTTGAGTCCTGCAGGTGGATGTTCACCCCACAGTAAGTGAACCTGACCTAGAAGGGGTTCAGGGAGAAATTTCTGCTGTCCTAGTAGTGGGCCATCCTCACGTTACCAGATCTGTTTAGAAGACCCTTACATCAGGAACAAATTGAACACAGGAATGGGAATTTTGGAATAAAGCAAGAAAACATAAAGAGGCTTTTAAAATATAAAGCTGTGTTTCCCAAACAACTTTCTAAGACAAACACTTATATAATGTTTACTATGTGCCAGGCAGAGTTCAAATCAATAATTAATATTAACTTATTTAACCCTCATATCTATATGAGGTAGGGGTTATTATCCCAGTTTACAGTTGGGGAGCTACAAAGAGGTTATGCAACTTGCTGAAAGTCACACAGTCACATGGGTGACTCTAAGCCCTGGCAGTTCATGGGGAAAATTACTGTACAAAAATTAGTGGAGAAGAGAGCCCATCTGAAATGCTTTCTTTTGAGAAAGGGTATGGGCACTATCACAGAGCATTTAAACTTCAGTGAATCAACAGCACTGTAGTTCAGTCCGTGATGAGACATCTAAGCCCTGCTTCCCAGGTGACCTCAGCTCTTATGAGTGGCCTCCTTGAGACAGTTCTGGCGAGGCCACTCTTTTCTTGATTTCTTTTGACAAACATCTGCTGAGCATCAACCCATGCACCAGGCACAGTGCTGAGTGCTGGGTACACCCAGATAATTATAACAAGTTGCAGGCCCAAGAAGCTCACGGTCTAGCGGCAAAGTAGAGAAATGAACCAATGGTTACGTATACACTAAAGAAAGGGCTCTGCAAGGGTTTCCCTGCCCTTCTTCATAGAAGTGAGCCCCACTTTCTCTCAGCTCGGACCGGAGCCAGCACATTCATTTACAAGAGAGGCGATGTCCACGGACAAAGCTAAGCAGGGTGCCTTTGGTTCTCTGCCTTCCTCGTTCACCACATCTCCCTCATCTCTCTCTCGGTTTTCTGCACTTCTTGCCCTCCTTCCCTCCTTTTTCCATGCCCTCTTGCTTTTCTCTTAGTCACCCACAGACCTTTCCAGGGCCCTTCCCAAGCACGTATTCTCTGAACCTACATGTCTTGCTAGTATATTTAGACATCCAAAGGTAAGTCAAAGAATGAAAAGGGTTGGGAAGCATTGACCCAGATCTTGTCAAACTCATAACAGGTTATTTTGCCTCGTGACACTGGCATTTCTTTTCTCTTTGTGACCTTGATAGTGAACTGAACATTCCAAGATGTTCCCTTATTCAAATGCAGTTTGGCTGGGGATGCTAACATCAGAAACAATTCACGGAGAAAGAGATCAGACTGGGTACCAGAGGTGAGGAAGAGCAAAGTTTGAGGACAAGTAACCTCTCTCCTGCTTTCAGTCCCAAAGCTGCCATCTCTGCATTAGACCTCCCTTAACAAAGCCCAGAGGCTGTCACTGGGAGACGTGCAGCAGCCAGAGGGAACAGAGACAACTGCTTTGTTTGGGGCTCTGGGAGAGAGGACTCAGGAAGATGATGGTGAGAAAGATGAACAGACTGTCCTCCTGCTAGTACTGCTGGCTACTTAGTTACAAGCCTGTGAAGAAAGCATCTTTAAGAGAACACCTTTAACACAGTAACTTTGTTTCTCTTCCAGTAACTCTGTCACTCTACCCCACCTCCCTCTAAGAGACTTAAAGTACTGTCTTTTTCAGAATTCAGTTACTTCTGGGTTCTTCAGTGATGTTGTTTCTTGCTCTTACCTCATTGAAAGGCAGTGAAGCCAGATGGCTCTGCCTCCCTTTTTGCTGCATTACAGGTTCCCTGCCTTCCTTTGTTTGTTTTCCTCTGTTTCATCCACTTATCTGCCCAGAAATCCATCCATCAAACATTTACTGGGCTCATACTCTGTGCAAAGCTCTCTGATGGCTACTCTTGAGGATACAAAGATGCAGAAGACACACTCAGTGCTTTCAGGAACTTGCAATCTGTGAAGGAGACACATCTAAATATAATAAAATAAATATAGACACAGAAGAGATTTTTGTGGAACGTTCATTGACTTTTTTTTTCTCTTTACCGTTTTCAAAGTGAAATGGTTCGTTAAAAACATGCCTCCTACATCTGATGCTCTTTTCTCCTGAGCTCCAGGGAGGCCAAGTTGATCCTTTAAGGAAAGAGAGTTTGACCCGGGCCAGAGACAGGGGCAGACTTTGGGATCAGGCTGGACACCTCCAACCCTAAGATTTCAATCAGCAAAGCAACATACACTTGGGTGAGAAGCAGGCTGGGCTTCATGCCAGACCTTACGACCAACAAAGACAGGCATAGCCCCGATGACAACAGCAGAGGCAATGTTTACTTCTCTAGGATTTCTTTGCACCAAGTTTCTGCCCTTTCTTCAAGAGCATGACAATCAAGGGCGGGCCAGAAGTCATGGCATACTGATCCTTCCAAGAATTTCATCACTGGATTAGCTGGTCTTGAGTAAAAGATCTAGGCAAGAAGCTGGTGAGGAGTGGGTGCGGGGGTAGTACACAGTAAGCAATAGATTTGGAGACAGTTTTCTGGGGCAGGAAGTTGTGGTGCTTGGCATACAGTTTTCAAACCAAATGATAAATAAGGGAGATATAGGGTAGATTCTCCATCTTTTCAACAAAGTCTAGCAAGTGTTACAAAGTCATTCTAGGAAAAATGGATGCTAGAAGCTTCTGTACAACGAAGTGTGAAGCATGGTCCCCAAAACATCTTTCTTCATTTAACTAGGGGATGTCATTTTTACCTGGGAATGCTCTACCTGAGCCTTGAGGGATGAGTCATTCACAAGATGCACAAAGAGGGGAAAGAAAGTCTAGATAGAAGAGAGATGGAGATGTGGAAGGGCTGGGATGAGGGAACTGAGGGTGTAGGAGCAGAGAGAGTGAGAGAAGCACTGCCAGGTTTAGAGCCTGCATAGTCCACACTACTGAACAGTAGGCTGCTAGCGGTGACATACTGGGCGGAAAGGAGCTGAAGGAGGTGGAGCCCAACCACAGGATACCCATTGGGTGGGAAGAACTGAGGGTCTCCAGAGTTTCCTCTACCCACTGGGGCAGGTGTTTCTGGGATAGGAAGCTGCACGGGGAGACCACAGAAGAATCTGTTACAAATGGAAGTGTGGTATAGAAGATACACCTGGAACCCAGGGTAAGCCAGCAGCAACTCTAATGGCTGCTGCATTTCCACTCCTTTGGGTGGTTCAGTCTTGTCTGTGCCCCTCCTCCCCAGCCCCAGACTACAATTTCTTTAGAGACTTGCCTTGAGAGCCATTTCTTTTATTAAGGTCTCACTTGGACAGCATACAAACAGCACAAGCAGAAACTACAAGCCCACACGCAGAATAAATTATGGTATTTGTATTTAAAAGTAGACAATAGAAGACGCTGTGTTACCAGGAGGGCCTCCTGGTCCAGTGTCTGGAGATTCACAAGGTGTCAGCAGCCACCAAGAGTCTGTGACACATCTTCTGTGAGACATTTAAAGCCACGTGCTCCCCTCCAGACATACCTAATGAGGCCCAAACTCCTGCACACAAGCATAAGTACACACACAGATGCACGCACAAGTGAACAGGCAGGGAACAGCCTGTAAACAACAACTAGCTCAGCAACAAGTGAAGTGGACCCAGCTGTGTTCTCCGTGTGGCTCTGGCAGCAGATGAGATCCTGGCACTTATCTTTCACCAACTCACCGGCTGCCGTGGGAGGTGTGAGTGGGCCCTTGAGGCAGTGAGGCAGTGGAGGGCTGCTTCCCGAGGTGAGGGGCCCAGTTTTGTCATCCTGGACTGCAGGGCGAGTGCACTGCAGCTTCCTACGCTACCCCTGCTTTGCTGTCTGGCCTGCCATGCTCTGCCCGCCACTCCCAGAAGAACAAGTGAAGAGATGTGCCCCAGGGAAGTCTACCCACTTGGAGTCCTGTGAGCTGTGGCCAAGTCTCACATGGGCTCCTACACGGGCCCCTCTCCAGCAATGTGACGCTGGGGACGCTATCTCAGTTCTCTAAGCCTCATCATCTCCATCTGTAAAAGTGGGAACGAGAGTATCTACTTCATGGGCTTATCATAAGGAATTACCGATACTTGATATTTCTAAGTACCATGCTAGACTCAAGGTAAATGTTCAAAACCTGTTTTCTTTCCTACCTTCTCCCCCATTTCTTCCTTTCTATTTTCCCATTTTCTGTTTTTAGGTTTATGTAGCCATCAGTGGTCATGTAGCCCTAGTTGGCATCATCTTGACCAACAGGGCCTCCCCAACCTCAACAGAGATTGTCAGTGCGTGCTTCCTGCTATTGCAAAACTGCACCACTGACAAAGTCAATGCGGTGGGCCTCTGGTGCCATCTGAGCCCAGGAGAGAGATCTGGGTCACCTGTGGCCCCATGGACACCTGACTGTCTCAGGGATGATGCTGAGGTGCCACAATGGTATAAAGACATGAACACCAAATAGAGGTGTACAGTTGGCTCTGAGCTGAGTCTGGCTGGAAGCTGGGACCTAGGGGTGGTGCTGTTCACAAAGTTGAGCAGAAACAAAACAACCCCCTGCCAAGAGTGGGCCACCCAAAGACACAGGAGATGTCTTCCTAGCAGGTCTGCCACCAAAAAGCCAGTTTGATGGATCACAGTTCACAACTCTGGTTCTGCAGAAATTTTCCTTCCATTTCTCCATCTGTCCACCCAGCCATCCATCTGGTACATAGTTCTGTACATTATAGGCTGACCAGGACAGAAGACCCTCTGTGCTCATTTAGCACCTTTTATCCAAGGGTATCCTTTATGGGCACTCGGCTGGAGTCTTTTACAGGAATGCGGTGAGGTAGGAACAAGACAGGCAATACCCCTCTTTGTATAGATTGAGAAGTGCTCCAGGTACCACAGTGCTCAAGTGAGCATAGCTGAACCATGGTAAGGGCCGGTCCAGTGCAAGGCACTGGTCTATTCCCCGAAGGCCACAACAGGCCATGGTATGGCTTGTTCCGGGCAGAGCTCTATGTCCAGACTTGCTTTGCTGTTCACACCAGTGTGGGTTTCAAGTCATCTTTGAAGTTCACGACAGGCTTTGAGCGGGCCCACAGCTTTTCCCAGGAAGCCAGCCTCCCAGCAGGCTCAGGGTCGCTGTCTGACGAGCCACTGTCACTGGAATCAGAGGAGCTCTGGAAGCAGATTTCACAGTAGGGCCTGTGGCAGTGGCAGAAGAACTCATCCGAGCTGCTGGATTCTGTGTCGAGGTAGCTGCGTGGAGGAGACAGGGAAGGGCAGCCTGGGGGCGCTGGGGACCGCTGCAGCCGCTGCTCAGGCAGGTCTGGTGAGGCTCTGGCTCGGCGTGGGGCAGCGGGGCACAGTGCCCGGCCAGGACCAGAAGGCTGGTGAGAAAGGGCTGTGTGGCTCCCTTCGGCTCCCTGGGGCTCTGTCTGGCACTGTTTGCTGCCCTCCGGGGAGTCTGGCTTGCCTTGAGGAGCTGGGAGTAGTAAAGGCTTCCCGGAAGAGGGTCTTGCTACTCTGGAATCTGCAGTTTGGTGGTCCAGGCAGGGGCTCTCCCTGTCCTGCACATTTCGCCCAGTGCGTGCCCCAGAACCAGCCCTGTTTACCCGACGCCCCACAGAGGAGGGCACAGAACCTGGCAAGTGCGAGCGAGCCCGCTGTGCCGCGCCCCTTCTCCTCACCATGTACGGGCTGAAGCCCAGCTCCTTGGAGAGGGGCATCTTCTGGAGGCTGTGGCAGGCACTGCTCTTCCAGGGCTGCTGGGGACAGGATGGGGGGCAGGGGACGGGAGCCTCAGGGCCCAGGCCCAGATCTTGGAGGACTTCCTGAAGCTTCTCCCTGATCACTGAATTCACCCTTGACGGTCGCGCTTGGGGCCCCTCTGAGTTCTCCAGCTGCCCCTGTCTCTGGGGAACAGAGCCTTCTCCGCCTGGCGTGAGACCCTGCTGGAGGGCCATGGGTACCTGGTCTCTTCTCTCCACACCCTGGCTTTGCTCAGCCCGCGGCTTCTGGCTGCAGCCCAAATTTAAATGGTCAGAAAAGTCTTGAGAGGCAGCAATTTTCTCCTGCCCCGGCGAGGGGCTGGTGTCCTTCACAGGCCCCTTGAGGCCTTGTACACCTGAGGCGGGTGCTGAGGTACTCTGGGAGTCCTGGGTGGCCGGGCTGGTATCACTCAGAGAGTCAGGGAGACATTTCAAAGACCCTTGAGCTGCTAGGCTATGGGGAGGGGCTGCAGCCAGGATGTCCTTGCTGTGGGAAGAGGCAGGAGGGACAGCCCCTTCGGGGGGGTCATAGGTGCACTCAGCTGACATCAGCCTCACCAACTTCTCTTTGGCGTTGTTTACTTGTTCTTGCAGGCTTTCAATCACAGCATTTTTCTGTAAAACAAAAGCAAAACCATCAACAAAAGATGCTGCTGAGGGCTTTCACACTGTCTCCCATGGTGGAGAAAGGGTGGCATCAGAAGACATTGGTTTAAATCCCAGTTTCTCCACGTATTAGCTGGTGATCTTAGGCTCTGAGGAGGTCCCTCCTTGAGGTGAAATGAGATGATGCATACAAAGCATTTAGCACAATAACTGCCATGTGTGCTCAATAACGGTTTACTATGATTTATTGTTGTATGATCTTAGTCTCCCCATACATCCCCAGACTGTGGCACTGTCTGCGAGAAGGGCGGTCAGGGGAGGCACAGTCTAGCTGCCTGCTGGCTGCTGCAGCACCCTCTCAACTTTGCTCAGAACACAGGGGGTCAGGTCACTCTGCAGGACACCAGTCAGAACAGTGTTTGGGATGGTCCAACTCTGGGTATATCATACTTCTGCAAAATACAGATGACCTTGAGGCATCTCTGAAGGGGATGAAGGAATAGGGAAACAAGAATTTTGCCACTTGCTAAACAGCCTAGAAAATGGGAAGAACAAGAAGGATGGAGATTCCTGGGCCAAAGTGACAAGACTGGAGCCAGGGGTGTGGTGGGGGGCAGTTAGGGGGGAATGAGAATCTCAGGTTGGTGTTATCACCTCCCTCGGCTGGAACGTGCGGGTAGGAGGCCAAAGCTACCATGTGGCACTATCAGCTGTCGGTATCTCCCAAAGGAGTGCAGGCATCAGAATTACTGGAGAAGCTCAAAAAAAAAAAAAAAAAAAAAGGATTATTGGGCCTAAGTCCCTGATAGCTTGATTCAGTAGAACTAGAAGGGAGCTCAGAAGATAAATGAAGTTGGGCAGTTCTGCTAGTGAGCTGCCTACCTGCTGCATGGCTGTTAGTTGATAAACAGGCTGTGCCAGTGAGGCTGGCAGGTGACAGCTGCAGAGATGTGCCTGTTCTAACTGCAGGACCATGGGGCATGAAGTAGGAGGAAGAGTAACAGCAGTGGGTGTGCCCTGAGCATCCTTCGGTGCTACAGCAGCTGATCGTCTGGTTCAGACCTGATGTCCACCTTCTGGAATTTCTGATGTTCAAAGGCAGTGGAGCAGGAGAGAGATCATCGTGGGGAACTGATGGGTCTTGGGGCAGATGACACGGGGTCGAGAGTTTGGAGAAGATAATAAGAAGTGCTTGTCCAAATACCAAAATGCTGCCTCTCTCCTGTCATCCTCTTTAGAAGCTGAGGATGAGCATTTGGACATCCATTTATTATGCCCTAGAAGTAAAAGGATGTTTCCCTTCTTTTGGATTCCTGACACAACTTGCCTATGAATTGAATTTGTGGTTTCTTCTCAAGTAGATATGGAAGAGTTGCCCAGAAGTGAACCTTTGAGGGAACAGTAAATTAGGTAAACTAGTCCAGCAAGAGTCTTCTGGCAGCAACTCCATGGCAAACCTACTGCTCCCTACTTATAAGCAGGAAGGTGATTTTTCTGATTATTGGTACTCCCAGTTTCATCCTGGTTTAGACTTCTCTTATCCTCAGGAGAGAGTTCCGAACCAGTGAGCAACTGGTGAATAAGCGGGAGGACTTGCAGCTGAGCACCTGCCTGCTCATTCTCCCTTTTCCTCAGCCAGAGCGGTAAGGGCTGGGCGTTGTCGCGGAAGTGTAGGTGACTCAGGGACTCGCCAGGAGCAGAGCGGGTGAGTAACAGGAAGACATTCACTCAGGCTCTTCGTGATATCTGGGTGGTGCCAGGTATCTCTTTGAGCATCTCACGGGGGTGACTGCGCTGGCTGCACCGGAGGGACCCCAACTCTGTTCCTCCTCAACAGCCCTTCCTCGTGAAGCCCACCTGGCACATTCTCACGCTGGCTTCAGGAGGCCCTACCGCCTCACAGAGTTGGGAGGGAGCCATCAGCTGATGACAGCTACCCCAGCAAGTGAACTCTGAGTGCTGCCTTTTTTTTTTTTTTTACATCTTTATTGGAGTATAATTGCTTTACAATGGTGTGTTAGTTTCTGCTTTATAACAAAGTGAATCAGTTATACATATACATATATTCCCATATCTCTTCCCTCTTGCGTCTCCCTCCCTCCCACCCTCCCTATCTCCCCCCCCCAGGTGGTCACAAAGCACCGAGCTGATCTCCCTGTACAGCCACTATGGAGAATGGTATGGAGGTTCCTTTAAAAACTACAGATAGAACTACCATATGAGTGCTGCCTTTTTGTGCCTTATCCACAAATTCCTTAGAGTATAGGAAAACAGTATAAACCTTGAGTTGGGAATAATACTCTTCTCTAGCAAACCAAACATCTGAAGCTGGCTGGTGACAGATTTAGAAACATCAGTCTAATCAGTAAATCTCCCTTCTTACAGAAAAGGAAGTGGGACTCTGTTTTCACCATGGCTGCATACTAATCAGAAGTGTGGTTTGCCACTGTGAGACGAAAATCTGACCGACCATGGCAGCTGCACTGAAGCGAGCTTATTATGATCACTTTTGGCACACCCAGGGAAGCAAAACATCCACAGGCATGTTTCATAAGGTGCAGGCCACAGGGAGAAATGGAATCTCCCCCTCTTTCTGTGTTTCAAGGAAGAAAAGTAAAGGTGAGTTTCGTCTGCTGCAGAGCGTAGAAGGGAGGTTCTTCAAGCTCTGGGAAGGTTCTACCTGCTGGCCTCCACACAGCCTGGGATGTCAGGGATGGATGCTGCCCCAAACAGTCTTTGGGGGCCATTGCCATGGGGAAAGGGGGGCAAGAATGAGAAGATGGACTGCCCAGATGGTGCGAAAGTAGGAGGAGGACACTGGGGCAGCACAGGGGCTGCAGAGGAGGGAAATGCGGCCGAGAAGCTGGGGTTACGGAGGCAGGAGAGATTCTTGTGTTCATCCTCTGGGCAGTGCTGGAGCTGGGGATTCAGATACCGGAAACTCTCTAGGCCTGCCGCAGGGCTCTGGGATGGGCTGCTCGTTCTCAGGCCTGCCCTGGGAAAGGTGTTCAGGTGTGGGGTGTCGGGGACAGGAGTCCAGCATTTTACTACCTAAGCATCTGCTCCCTATTAGGGCCCTGCCTCTGCAGACTCAAGGCATCTTTTTGGTAGAGCGGGTTCAGTCACTGCATGGGAAACAGGGTAGCATGGCAGGAGTACAAAAAGAACGTCACAAATTACCATAAGGCTAAAGAGTCAGGCCACTTGGCTGTTCCAACATTAGCTGATTGTGAATGAAAACCATCCTGGGTGTTCTCGCCAAGTTTCTGGCCTTCTGTTTAGCTGAAAAAAAAAATGTTTCTTTGAAGACTTCAGAGAATATCAATGGCAGTGCCACTTCCTTGCCAGGTGGGAAGAAATCTGGCTCTGAAAAAAGGTCCTGAATGCTTGATAAATAGTAAAGAAATGGACAAGTATTGCTCTGATGGATAAAAAAGGTCCAGAACCAAGGGAATGGTGCGAGGGACTGAGGGTACCTGGGGAGCTGAATCCCTTCATTGGTTACATTCCTTAGGTCCCCATCACACCATCCTTTCGCATAGGGACTATTGGTACCCAGTGTCAGTCCAATACAAAAAAGCATAATTTCCCATATAGCACCTACTCAGGTATGTTCTCTACTAAAACAAAAATATGGAATATAATTTAGTTAGTGTGAAAAAACTGGCTAATTCCTCTGGGCCCTATGCCTCCTCTCTGAGGCAGTGCAGCCTCAAGCTTTCCCATGTGCTTTCTTCAAGCCCACATCACTCTACCCAGTTCTGGGAGAGGTGCCAAATCTGGCTGAAGAACAGAAGAAAGAGGACTGGGGGGCTCCCAGTCCCAGAAACAGGACTGGGCGCTACTGTGATATTCAGAAGCTCTATTCATCCTTCCTCCCCATCTTTAGACACCTCTTAATTTTCTGGGTTGGTAGGATGATTGACATTTCTAGTTAGCACCTGGAAGAGACAGTAAGGAGCCCCATAGGATCTTGGAAACAAGGGCACTACTCTATGTAAAGAAAGAATGTATCACACAGCAGAAGCTAGCATCCACTACTCCTCAGGGCCTTTACAATGCTGTTCCCCACACTTGGAATGCTTTTCCCTGCACTCTTTGCCTGGCTAACTTGTAGTTAACCTTCAGCTCTCAGCTCAGAGAGTCTTTTCCGACCACTCTAAATTAGGTTTCCTTGTCCTCACCACTCTTTCTTCCCACTCTGATCTTTCCCTTCATAATTCTTATCACCATTTATAACTATATGGCTACTTGATCAGTATCTATTTCCTCCACTACACTGTGAGCTCCATGAAGGTAGGGACTCTGTTTGTTTTGTTCATCAGCACTTAGCACAAAGCCTGGCACACATCTGTCCAATGAATGAATGAAGTGGGTGAGGGTCAGCAATGGGAGGGGCACTGAGGAAATGTTAAGGTTTTGCTTGCCGCTAAGGGAGACCAGAATGGCTAGGAATCGGGGAAATGGGAGGAGGAGAAAGAATGTTAGCAATGAGGCATATGGGGCCCACCAATGCATGACTGGAGTTCTTTATAGAGAATCCAGCAGGCAGGGTCTCGCTTACTTCTGTGAGGAGTCTCTCCATGGAGTTTTTCTCTCCTCTAACGTGGCAACTCTGTTCCTCACCATACTGGGTGTGCAAGCTTTTGCTGGGAGTGCTGAAATATTTGGCCATGCGTCTGATTGTTTGGTTTTCCTCTTCAAATGCCTTCCATTGCTTCAGCTGTTGGATAAAAGAACACATGTTATTTATTTAATTACACACCCAGAAACACATTCTCTCACTCTTCCTCAAAAACACCAAGGAATGACAGTATCATAGATAAATGCACAAACTATTCTCTCCTCAAAATGTACTTTACTCTGGAAAGTTCACAGACAGCAATGACAGAAGGTTTAGAGAATGTAAAGGTTATAACATTTAAAAATGCCAAAGGAAGAAGATGACAGGTCGATGAAACAGAACAATCGGCTGGACCCATCTACCAACCCACTGCTGGACTGGTCAAAGAAAACCAGAGCTGAGGTGGACTTCTAGAGCCACATTCTCAAGCCAGGGTTTAGGAGCTATAACAGGGGGGTTAAGCAATCTAAACACTGTATTTCAAATGAAGCTGGTTTTAGTTGTATGCCACTCTTCTTAATTATGCTCATGTGTTGAGTGATGGTGTGCTTACTGCTATCAAAAACCCAGGTCCGGGCTTTCCTGGTGGCGCAGTGGTTGAGAGTCCGCCTGCTGATGCAGGGGGCACGGGTTCGTGCCCCAGTCTGGGAAGATCCCACGTGCACGCGTCCGGAGCCTGTGCTCCACAATGGGAGAGGCCACAATAGTGAGAGGCCCACGTACCGCAAAAAAAAAAAGAAAAAAAAGTTAAAAATAAATAGGGCTTCCCTGGTGGCGCAGTGGTTGGGAGTCCGCCTGCTGATGCAGGGGGCACGGGTTCGTGCCCCAGTCTGGGAAGATCCCACGTGCACGCGTCCGGAGCCTGTGCTCCACAATGGGAGAGGCCACAATAGTGAGAGGCCCACGTACCGCAAAAAAAAAAAGAAAGAAAAAGAAAACCCCATCCTTCTAGAGGAATTTTTTTTTAATTTAATTTATTTTTTTATAGAGCAGGGTCCTATTAGTTATCTATTTTATACAAATTAGTGTATACCTGTCAATCCCAATCTCCCAGTTCATCCCACCCCCACCCCTGCCTTCCTTGCTTGTGTCCATACGTTTGTTCCCTCTAGAGGACTTCTAACCCAAGTCAGTGATCAAGGCTCAGAGAAACAGAAAACCACAGGTGTCAATAAAAATTAATAAAAATGATAGAACATCAGGTCTGCGATCTGTCTTTTTTCCTTGACAAATGAGGAAAGACTCAGGAGGAGGAGGATTTGTCTAGGTCCACATGGCTACTTAGCATCAGAGTCACAGCTGTAATGAGGGCACTGTGCCACACTGCACGTCCTCAACACAGCTGATGAGAGAGACTGTCAACTGTGAGGGTCCTAGGGAACGTTTTTCAGGAGATACTGGTTTTGAGAACCAGTCTATGGATGAACAGGCCAGTTTAGTTTAACAGGGATGGGACTGAACAGAGAACATTCACAAACAGGGACACGCTCCTGAGCCTGTGGGACACGGTCTCCTCCTGGCGAATGCCAGGGACGTGATGCCAGGGGAGGCCACAGTGCTGGAGGCATCTTTTCCCTTAGGGATTCTCATAATTAAGAGCCCTAGTGATGGACGCTGGGCACTCTGGGACCTTAGCTCTAGAAATGATGCTGAGATACCTGTGGGGAACCTCACAGGGATCCTGGGATGTCTTTGTTTGCTCATCAAACATTTACTGAGCTCTGACTATGGAAAGTAACCTAAATTTGGTAAATCTCAGATAACATTCTAAATCCTGCCATCAATTTCAATACCACATTCTGCCCAAGTCCTCTTGGGTCCTCTGTTAACTCAGCATGAGTCCTTCATGGTACCAGGAGTCTGTGTGACCTGTGCTGGGTCGGGCCAGGAACCTGTCCTGTCAGATGCCCTTCTTGAAGGGCCCCTCCCCAGGGTGCTGTCCTCTCAACACCCTGCTCAGGAGCTACTGGAGCCCAGCACTACAGGGTCACTGTACGGCCATGGGTGGATGGTGCTGATCGCCAGTGCTGCTCTCCTAGCACTGGCCCTAGCAGTGTTGCACTATCTCTGTCTCCTCAGGGCCCCCTCATTTCCCTAGCAGCACAGCTTTTCCTTTCTCTCCCCCCCGCACCTCCAGACCAAGCCTTCCCTGCAGAGCTGCTGGAAGAACTGCTCAACATTGGTGTAAGGGCACTTCCAAGGCTTTTGGTCCGTCTTGCCCTAAGCTGGCTGGGTGGAGCCAGGGTGGCCCTTGACTAAAGCCCCCTGCCCCTCCAACCCCCTCCCCCTTAATTCCCCGTTTGTGAAGGTCCTGGTCCTTAAGGCTTGACTCTTCAGGATTTCTGGAATATGGCTAGAAATGACCCTTAGGTCATAATTTCAGGACCTCCCCATGGCCCTTCTTTCAGAAGGACAGGGAGTCTTGTTTTCTCAGCATCTGGGTATGTGCGTGTAGCAGGCAGAAAATGGCCCCCCAAAGACGCTTCGCTCCCAATCCAGGAACTTGTAAATATGTTACCTTACATGGCAGAAGGAATTCTGCATACGTTATTGAGTTTAAAACTGTGAGATGGGGAGATTATTCTGGATCATCCAGGTGGGCCCAATGTCATCACAAGAGTCCCTATAAGAGGGAGGCAGGATGGGAGATGTGACAATGGAAAGAGAGGTCAGAAAGAGAGACTGGAAGATGCTGTGCTGCTGGCCCTGAACGTGGAAGGAGCCGTGGATCGAAGAAAATGCAGGAAAATGCACGGAAACAGATTCTGCCCCAAAGTCTCCGGAAGCAACGCAGACCTACTAACAACTTGATTTCAGCCAAATAAGACCCATGTTAGATCTCTGACCTCCAGAACTATAAGGCATTAAATGTGTATTGTTTTAAGGCACTCTGTTTGTGGGAATTTGTTATAGCAGCAATAGGAAACCAAACAGTGGGATTAAGTCTCGGGTCTTTAATGGGGTGCACCGGGGCCTTCAGAAGTTCACCCCATGTGCCTCTCTCACCTCCTGCCACTCTCCCCTTGTTTCAATTTGTGCTTCGAGAAGAGCAAGGGCTCACGGTGTTCCAAACACCTCCTCTTCTCTCTCATACCTCTCTGCCTCTGTCAGAGGGTTTCCCCCGTCGGAAATGCCACCCACTGCTTTACCCCAGTCTGCGCTGTGAACATTTCTTACTCCTCATTCAAGGTGGGCCCAAGCACCTCATTTTCTGAGACGGTGTCACTGAGTTCCCAGACAGGCTGGGGTACCCCTTCCTTGACATCGTGTAACGTCCTCCAACACTATAACACAGGGGTTATAAATCCTTTCACGTCAGCTCCCAACTAGACCTAGAGTGAGGCCATGTGTTTAACTGCCTGTTCCCAACAGTTAATATTTGGATGGACAGATACATGGACAAATGAAGGAAGTTTCCTTTAAAAAGCTCATCTGTCTGGTAAGGTGCTGAGACATTTACAGAGGACTATGATGCAGAGTAGGAAGTCATGAGTACCTTCCTGGAGGAGCAGATGAGACACTTTGTGGGTTTAGAGGATAAAATAATGTCCTACCTCAGGACCCACCTGCCTCTCAGAGGTGGAGGGAGGGGTGTGTGTGTGAGGGAGGATGGGTCACATCTAAGTCACAAAAGCAGAGGCTGGCTCACTACTGGTGATGACCTCAGCGTTTGGCGTAAACACTTAGGCATTTCCTGAGGGCCTGTGGAGAATGCTACTTAGTTCACTTAGCTCTTCAGTCACATTGTCCATTTCACCCAGCTTTCTGGCACTGCCTACCTGCCCTTGAGGAGTCTGTGCCTTTGCTTTCATAAATCCCTCCCATCACAGTCCAGTTTGAAGGCTCAGTAGCAAGAAAGAAGCCTGCCTCCCTGCTCCCTTCCCTCTCCTTGTGGCTCTCCTCACACACTTCTCCAAATTCGCTCAGCTGTCCTACTGTCCTGGGAATGTCCAGTCTCTGATCTCACAGGGAGAATCTTTCTTCAACCAAAGGCCACAGAGTCAGAAGGGAAAATCAATTCAGGGGCACACAGAAAACCTGAAAAACCTCAGTTACTTTTATATTTTGAAAAACAATTTACCTCCTATACCTAAAATACAATTGACTATAAAATATATTTTTTTGTTTCAGATCATGGTCAGTTCAAGAGGAGGAAAAGCATGAGAGAGAAAATAGAAAAGATACAGTATGAGAAAGGAAGCTCAAGACAGCTAGGAGGACTGAGATAGAGAGAAGGAGAGAGAAAGGCCAACACAGTCCATCTGCCCAGTTCCGGTACCCCAGTCCCAATAATTCCATTTCCACTCCCACTTCAACAAACCAAGTGCCTGTCCTTAGTTCAAACCCAGAAGACAGATTCCAAGATGAACTTCATCTTGCATTTTTATGTCTGTGTATAAGATGGAAGTGCACCTAAATATCACTATGGTCCCAGGTCCTGAGGATTTAAACACGGAGGAAAGTGGAAATCTTGTATCTGAGGCTTAGGATACAAGAGGGACAGAGGCGAGTGTGGAGAGAGGAAACCTAAGTAGGGCCACATCAGGGAGTTTACTGATTCACTCAATTTTCAGATGGAGGTCTTGTGTTAGATCAGGAAAGCTTTCTTCTAATAGTTCCTTGGTGATTACTTCTGCTCTAAATTATCTTGTTCTCTTTCAGAGACTCCTATTAGCTTTAAATCATATCCTTAGACCTGCTCTCCACATTCTCTAGTCTCTCATTTTTTCCCTGTGTCCTTGTTTTCTGTTTCCTTAAATTAACCCACTAATTCAGTATTTTGCCATGTGCAGCTGCCTATCCAATGCTTCTATTGGCATTTTAAATTTAACACAATCTTTTTCATCCTTATTCAATATTTCATGATCTAAGATTATGTCATTTTCATAATGGTTTACTTTAGTCAAAGAGCGGCAATAACCTTTTAATCCTATTGATAAGACTAATCAGATCCCTTCTAAAAACCTTCTATTTTACTTCAGAGGAAGGCAGCTTCTCTAAATCTTCAGAAATTTGTGGTCCTTTTATTGTGAACTGCAGAATCTCTTCATAGATCCTTTCCCCCTGAATTTATAGTCTTACGTGGGAAAAGCTATAGTTTCCTGGTATATAATAAATACATTCTCTTGGCTTTTCCCTCATCATCACAAGATGGCTGCCATAACTTCAAGCATCAAAAACATTCAAGGTAGGAAGAAAGTAGAAGAGGCGATGACAGCCACCCCCATAGCTTTTTTTAGGAAAGCAAAAGCTTTCTCAGAAGCCTCCCAGAAAACCTTTGGTGTTCAAAACTGTGTTACATGGGTATACCTAGCTACAAGGGAGGCTGGCAAAGCAAGTGTTTAGCTCTTTCAGTCTATATAGTAGAGGTGAATCAAGGAACAAAGGGTTTGGCAATGGGTGGATGGGTTACCAATCAACAATGTTGGCCCCAGGGCCTAAGGAGTGGGCTTCCCAAAAGTCTCCTCTCCACTCTCTTTTACCCATCTCCCAGGGAGGTACAACCCTGGCATTTCATAGCCCTTTTCTGCTACATCCCAGACAAATAAGACTCAGCTCTCAAAGGCTTCCTTCAATCCAGTTCTTATAACATTAAGATTTAGCAAAAGTTGCTCTAGTTTCTGGGTCAGAGGCAATGCCCATCCTTGATTTTTTTTTTTTGGTGGTATGCGGGCCTCTCACTGCAAGTTGCTCTAGTTTCTGGGTCAGAGGCAATGCCCATCCTTGATTTTTTTTTTTTGGTGGTATGCGGGCCTCTCACTGCTGTGGCCTCTCCCATTGCGCAGCACAGGCTCTGGACGCGCAGGCTCAGCGGCCATGGCTCACGGGCCCAGCCGCTCCGCGGCATGTGGGATCTTCCCGGACCGGGGCACGAACCTGTGTCCCCTGCATCGGCAGGCGGACTCTCAACCACTCCGCCACCAGGGAAGCCCCCATCCTTGATTTTCAGTGCTGCTGCTACAGATTTTTCCATATTTGTTCATCCTCTTGAGTATTTTAATGAGAATTTATGAAAGGGAAAAAGAGTAAAGGGCCTCTGCCTGTGTCATACTATCGTGCCCCAAAGTGCACTCTTCACTTTTATAAATACACTCCCATCCTCCATCAGGCAACACTTTAATTACCAGTTAGCTCCCTCATGGAGAAGTCATACATGGTCAACTGGTAACTGCACTGGGAATAAGGATAGGGTAGTGAGGGTGTCGTGGGATGAGGGAAGCCTCGGGAGGAAGAAAAAGAGAACTAGAAGAGACACAAAACAAGTGCTTAATGCCAAGCTCATTAACTTGGATGTATGTGGCTCAGTGGTACCCTGGGGCATAACGTGAATAATTTAACATCATTTTCCTTTCAGAGCTTATGGATTCCTTCACCTTTCTCTCTGACTCCCTTTCTTTCTGTTTGCTGTCTGGATATTTCTCCTTCTATCTTCCTCCCTTGTTTGATTTTTTCTTAATCCTCATAATAAGAAATACATTTTATTTTACTTTTTTAACATCTTTATTGGAGTAAAATTGCTTTACATTGTTGTGTTAGTTTCTGCTTTATAACAAAGTGAATCAGATATACGTATACATATACCCCCACATCCCCTCCTTCTTGAGTCTCCCTCCCACCCTTTGTATCCCACCCCTCTAGGTGGTCACAAAGCACGGAGCTGATCTCCCTGTGCTATGCGGCTGCTTCCCACTAGCTATCTATTTTACATTTGGTAGTGTATGTATGTCCATGCCACTCTCTCACTTCGTCTCAACTTACCCTTCCCCCTCCCCGTATCCTCAAGTCCATTCTCTACGTCGGCGTCTTTATTCCTGTCCTGCCCCTAGGTTCTTCAGAACCTTTTTTTTTTTTTAGATTCCATATATCTGTGTTAGCATACGGTATTTGTTTTACTTTTTCTGAATTACTTCACTCTGTATGACAGACTCTAGGTCCATCCACCTCACTACAAATAACTCAATTTCGTTTCTTTTTATGGCTGAGTACTATCCCATTGTATATATGTGCCACATCTTCTTTATCCATTCATCTGTCAATGGACACTTAGGTTGCTTCCATGTCCCGGCTACTGCAGATAGTGCTGCAATGAACATTGTGGTACATGACTCTTTTTGAATTATGGTTAAGATATACATTTTAAATTTAGTTTTTACTTTTTCCTTACTGTAAAAAGAAAAGGAATGTTCTACATTTTCCTCTTTTTATTAAAAAGAAAGAAAAGGCATTTTAAAATTCATAAAGACCCAAATGTACTTTTCTCTGAATGTGCAATTGCAAACAGGAAAGAAGGAAAGGTTCCTCACTGCCAGGCTAGTACAAGAAATGACATTATCAGGATGAAGGGGGGACTGGGGATGCATGCAGCAGACTGGAGGGTGGGTAGAAAAGCAGGTCTGTGAGGCAGCCACCTGGGCGGAAGTGGTGCCACTACTTGGCTACTCTGGTCAGCCCTTCTTGCCGACGGGGAGCAGAGTGGCTCCTTCAGGACAGCGAGGAGGGAAGAACAGAGGGAGCCAGCTCACTAGGAACCCCACCTTCCTTCTGACTCTCTAATCAATGGCACCCAAAAGTCTCAGTAGGAAACAAAGGGAACAATTTATCACGCCCAGCAAAGTCTCTGGAATGATGGGGTGGATTGGTCCTCCAAGTTCTCCCTAGAGCATACCTGGGGAATGAAGATGAAGCAGTTGATTGTGGTCGTGCACACAAAGATACCTCCAGACGTGAGTCCAAAGACCAGGTTGGGCCAGGAGTGCAAGTATCTGGTGACCACAAAAAGAAGCCCCGCAGCCAGCACCACGAGGTTGACCCCAACCATGATGGTTAAAGACTGATTCACAGGAGGAGAGCTGACGTGGTCAGTCAAGCCAGCCAGGTAGGCCCCAAGGAGCAGCAGCAGGCCCTGGAGACAAAGAGAAGAACCGGAGGCTCAGAGAAGTGAAATATCAGGCTTGGGGTCCAGGAGCAGTAGGGTTGGGACCAATTTCCTCACCTGTAAAATAGGGATAATAAGACCCACCTTAAAGGGTTGCTATGAGGAGGATTTACTAAGATAGCATTTGGGACTACCCTTAGGGTGGTCCCCTTACACCTCATGTATGCGTGATAAATTTCATTTTCCTCTGCTCTGAGAATTAGTTGATCAGAGGTCAGCAAGTCAGCCATCAGAGAGGACTCTGCCAGGATGAGGTACAGGACACGATGAGACATGCAGGTAGGAGCCCTACAGAAAGGACTGCCAGGCACTGGGAGGGCAAGGGGCGCACCATGCTGCTGGTGGTGAGGGCTTCCGCATCCACTGGGTGCTTCTGCACTGCATGGAGCTGAGGGGCACGCAGAAGCTGAAATAGCCCTGTGGTCCCCTTGTCAAGCCATGTGCCACGGCAGGGGAAGCACTGGAGGAAGGGGCTCTTTTTTCTAATGTTCCCAAAGGCACCATCTGCTTGCCAAGCCCTGCACCTGCAAGACTGCATCTGCCCAGAAGGGATGCCTTTTTCTAATTCACACAAAGGATCTCTATAGGCTAGCAGCAGCTCTGTGCCAGTGGGTGTTTATGGGAGACGAAGAGTGAAAAAAGAAGAGAACAAAGGCAGGCTGGGACCTGGACAGGACCATGGGACAGGCACAGGCAGCAAAGGCCTCATCTATACCCTTCACCCTCTTTGTGACATTCCCTGCCCCGCCCCCCAGAACCCAGGGCCCTATTCTTTCCTCTTTGTCATGAATGTAAACCTGCTCTCAGACTTCTCATTTGTACTACACAGAAAATGGCTCACAGCTTCTTAAAGTGCTGCCTCTCCTAGAAGGAGCTACATTTTAACAGAAATCAAAGCTTTAATCAATAATACATAATATATAGATTCAACATATGTTCGCTTGATTCGGGGCAAAGCTCTGTGCTGGGGTAGGTGTAGGGCAGGAAGCAGTGTTGCCAAGTGGAAGTCATGGTTCTGGCTTTTAAGAAGCTCAATCTGGTTGGGAGATTTAAGGCAAGCACACAAATATCAATGTTTTATGACACAGAATATGAAGCTGCCACGGGGGATGAGGTGGGGTGGGAACTACAGGGACTCAGAGGGAGAATAATAAAAGTAAGGTCAGGTATCAGCAGGGTACCTGCCAGTGGCCCTGAAATCACACGATCTGACCAACTCCATCTGCAGGGATGGCCCTTAAGACAACTGTTTGGAGGACTGGCTGTGCCTACAGTGAAGGAGTAAGCACAGCAGAGATGCTGTCTGGGTGCCCCAAATGCTCAGTGTCCTAAAGGGGGCCAAATGTGGCCGCCCTGAGATCTTCAACGACTAGAGGACATACAAGTCAGCAGGCCAGTGGGACCTAACTTTTGGATAACTGACGCCATCAGGTGGCATTTGGCAGAGTTAGATCATTAGTAATTTAATCAAAGGCGAATAAAATTAATTCTATGATTCTGAAATGTTCAAATCTGATTCTATTAAAATGCTTTAACTCCATTTAAATTCTTTCCAGGGCTTCCCTGGTGGCGCAGTGGTTGAGAGTCCGCCTGCCGATGCAGGGGACGCGGGTTCGTGCCCTGGTCTGGGAAGATCCCACATGTCGCGGAGGGGCGGGCCCGTGAGCCATGGCCGCTGAGCCTGCGCGTCCAGAGCCTGTGCTCCGCAACGGGAGAGGCCACAACAGTGAGAGGCCCGCGGACCGCAAAAAAAAAAAAAAAAAAAAAAAAATTCTTTCCAAAAGGGAATCAGGTATGAATAAAGCATCTATATACGCATGACTCGTGTCTGAGTGAATCACATCTGATATTTGTGTGTCATTCGCCCTCACTGCTGAGAAGCGTGGGGTGGCAGTCCGGGGACTTAATGTGCAGATTTGGGGTCCTCCTCAGGAGCTGCCCGAACAGGGAGCCCATGGGGGCCTGGCTCAGTTACCTTCCTGATGGCTCAGCACTCTTTCCCCTTTTTCTTTCTTTGTCCTATAGAAAGATATTGCAGTGAAATAAAATGGAAATGGGATTATATAAAAGGCAATGGAGAAAATAAATCAAGTTGACTTGCAGAGGGAGTTGCTATGGGGGAAGTGCTGGGTTTCTGTGCCGGGAAGGATGTGCTATTCTACAGGGGCTCGAAGAATGGGAAAGGCACTGTGCTTTCAGAACTGTCTGCGGGCAGGGGTGGGCAGTGGAAGATTAATAATAAAAGCATCTAACATGTATTTAGCTCTTACTATGGGCCAGGAGTGAATGAAATCTCAACATGCATTAATCCTTTCAAAACTTAGAACCCTTCTGAGAGGATGTTATCATCATCCCCATTTCACGTATGAGGGAATCAAAGCTCAGGGAGGTCAAATGAGGTTCAGGGTCAGCTAGGAAGGGGCTGAGTCATTATTCAAACCCTGTTCTGTCATATTTTGAAACTCATTTTCTTAACCACTAGTAAGAAACTAGAGATCAAAAGCTATTCACTTCCTACCATTTTCTCTTAAAAATATTTCTATCAAAGTAATATATGCACATGGTTAAAAAGCAACATTTCCCTGTCCCAGCCCTGCCCATCCTCAGGCCTATTTCTCAGAAGCAACCACTTGAACACTTTCCTAGTGGTGAAGTGAGTAAAGTTTACCTTTAGAGGCCATCTATTTCTATAAGACCTCCTTTTCCTCTGCCAGCAATCAATCAACCAGGCCCCTCTCTCCTAATACTCAACAGGCAGCCTCCTGCCATGCAGGGCTCACCTGTTCATTGAAACAGACCTTCCCCAGGCCACTCCCCGCCTCCCCCGCCCCAAGCCAGATTCTCTGTCCCTCCAAGCTGAAAACCAGCTAACAGGATAGCTGGTTCTCCTTTAGTGCCCTGTATAGTATCCTGTACCCTCTGGAAATAATATCCTCCTTTTGCCATCTAACAGAGATAAATGAGTCAAATGATGGGAGATTCAGGGCAGTATGGGAGACACTCTGAGGCAGCTGGAACCACTCAAAGGACACCATGGATGTTGCCATTTGTCTTAGGGCCAGCCATGCTTCCAATCAGAGCAAGAAAGTTAGGCAAGTGGAAGGCAGCAGGTTACCTTGACACAAATCTTGAAGAAAGACCCAAGAGGAGTAATAAGGGCACTTAAGAGAATAGGTTAAGCTGGCTAGAATGTCTCCTTGTAATTCCCCTTGCAGGTAGTTGGGGAGAAAACTGGTATTGACAAATCAATGAAAAAAACAGACCAAGAAATGGGAGAAAGAGTGGGTGAATTCCACATGATTTGGGGGAGGACTCAATGAGGGAGTCCAAAGATTTGGAAACGTGACCCTCAAAACAAATAGAGTAGAGAAATAATAAGGGTCATGGCCTTGAGATGTATGCATCAATAGAGGTCTCTTCTGATTTCAATACTCTTTGCAGAAATCACCTCATTAATTCCTATAATTCCTCTTTATATCCATTTTGTTGGTAACAGAGAGATAGTATCCCCAAGAGATGAAGTTACCAACCTTGCATACCAAAACGAGAGCAATCCAGACATCAGAGTACCGGGAAGCACAGAAGTGTGTGCTAGTCAGAGAGCAGGACACGTCTCTACCTGTCACCTAGAAGGGACACAGAGTCAGGACTGAGGGCACCCACAGTTACCAGGAACACACATACACAGCAGATCTTTGTAAACATTCTAGATTGTGAAATCCTATATAGCATATAATTTCTCCCTTAATATGTAAAAACTATAACATTTAGGTGACTCCATTAGAATCTAAGTGAGAGTAACCATGAGTTGGAGGAAAAGACAACAAAGTTGGGCTGACATGTGGATTCTTGGTGCCAGCAGGGCTTAGCCCTGTTATGTGCTTTGCTACCACAGTGATTCAAATTAGTGCATCAGCAAAATTACAAATTATTTCACATCCTCTTTCTGCTATTCGTTAACAGTTGAAACCTTCAATATTGAATCTGCACCGTCAAGATTCCGCTGTATTCCTCAGCTCCTTTGTTAGGCTGGAGATATAATGCTTCCTATTAATTGAACACTATATACTGGGCACAGTTGAGTCCTTTACCTGCATTGTTTCCCTTAATCTTCACCACAGCCCTATGAAATAGGTAGTATTATTATCTCCATTTTACCTATGAGGAAATAGAGACTTAGACAGGTTAAGTAACTTTCCCAAGGCTGGTAAGTGGTAGAGCTGGGATTTGAATTGGGGTTGACTTGACTCCAAAGAACACCTCAGAATACTACCTTTACCTTTCAACAGTTAGGGTAAAGAAGCTCTCTGTAGCTGAAAACTCTCATTACTGATAAGGTGGAAGTAGAGATAACTGCCAGGCAGATCTCTGTTTGCTGACGTCTCAGCGGTTGCTGCTGGAAAACACTTGGGGCGGGAGGAGCAGTGGGAGCAGAGCAGACCCTGCAGACAAGGGGCAGGTGTTCATGGTGGCCACAGCTCCTGACTCACCAGCCTCTTTGGGTCATTTATCTTCTCGTTGGGAGGATGTCCACACAGTGAATGCTACTGGGAGAAGGACCCCCCCCCCGTACCCACAGAAGCCAGTCCCTCCAGTTCAGGAACTAGATTCTCCAGGGATTGGGCCCCTCACCGTCATACTGACACTGAGAATCTGGAGGCACTGGATGGGATCAGTCAGCACCCACGTCATGAGCAGGATCACATCTGCTATCACCAGGGCTGCCACCAACCCCAGGAGCTGCAGGTCTTTGATTATCTGCAAAAGAGTCAAGGTCATAACTTTCCTTTGCTCACTGGCTATACAACACAGGGGCTAGACTGTCCTATGTGCTCTGAGATAAAGGCTCCAGGGTTAACCTTCCAAAGGGGCTTCAAATCCAGCCATCAAAGATGAAAAAGACACTAAACACATGCAGTGAGTTCTATGTGCATATCATCATTAGCACCATTAAACATTTTCATTTGTTTGTCCCTTCCATATCCTGCCTTTTCCCACAAAGGATTCAAGGGATATTATCAAATAAATACACTATTATTTCTATATGTTTATATAGCACATAGAGAGATGTGGAAATTTTTACATAAAACTATTAACAACCATTAACCTGGAGGGTCAGACTGAGAGATGATGGTGATGGAGGAGAGATTACTAGCATTTTCTTTAAACATATGTGAAGCATTTGACTTAATACAAAGAGAATGTGTTATTTTTGTGATTACAAAAATAAAATTTAAAAAATATATGCAGCAACAGGATGAAAAATATTAAGGAAAGAGACAATAAGGAGAATTATGATGAATGCTCAGGTGAGGAGAGCACATACCATTCAAGAACTGAGGCAGAAACATGGGTCTGCATTTTTGACAACCAATGAAAAGAAGGAAGCACAACTAGTTACATGATTCATGGTGTTTGTAAGATAAAAACAAATCAGTTGCTGAACCAAAATGCTCCAAACCAGTGATAAGGAGAAAATCTTCAAATCAACTAGTAAAAAATGACACAGTATGTATAGTGGAACAAAGATAAGGAAGACATCAGATTTCTCATGAGATACAAGGACAAGTGAGAAAACAGTAGAGGGAAATCTTCAACTGAAGAAAATAAAATATCAACCTAGAATCTTATATCCAGAAAAAATATCTTTCAAAAATAAAGGTGAAATAAGGACTTTTTCAGATAAACAAAAGCCAAAAGAATTCAGCATTAGCACACTTGCATGAGAATGTTAGATATCCTTGAAGTAAAAGGAGAATAATACCAGATGAATATAGGGATCTATACGAGGAAATTAAGAGCTCTGGAAATGTTAACTTCATAGAAAAATATATGATTGATATTTACTATTTAAATATCTTTAAAACATAACTGATTGTTTAAACAAAAACTAATAACAATTGTGTGGGGCTTGTAACATATGTAAAAGTAAAAACAACACAAAGATTGGAGAGTGGGGAACTGGAAGCACACTATTGTAAATGAAATACCTATGCCATAAGTAAATGCCAATTATATAATTATACACAAACTCTTCCAGAAATTGAATTGGAGGGAATACTTCCCAATTCATTCTACAAGGCTGCCATTACCCTGTTAGAAAACCAGAAAAAGATTTTATAAGAAAAGAAAGCTGCAGAGCAACATACCTTAAGAACATGAACACGAACATTATAAACAAAATTTTATGAAAATGAATCCAACAATATAAGACAGTAATACATAATGACCAAGTGGAGTTTGTTTCAGGAATGCAAGGTTGGTTTGAGATCCTAAAATCATTTAATGTAATTCACCATATGAGCAAGCTAAAAATGAAAAATCATATGATTAACAGATAGAGGAAAACACATTTGACAAAACCCAACATTAATTCTTTATAGAAACTCAGTAAAATAGGAATAGAAGGGAACTTCCCCAATTAGATAAAGGGCATCTATGATAAAACTACAGCTAACATCATTCTTAGTTTTGACTAAGATAGGATGTTTTCCCCATATGATCAAGAACAACTCAAGGATGCCTGCTCTCAGCACTTCTATTGAACACTGTACTGGTGTTTCTAGCCAGTGCCATCATACAAGATTGAAAAGAAAATTTCTTTTACAGAAGATATGAATCTATATAGAAAATCTGATGGAATCTGCAAAAAGCTACTAGAACTAATAAGTAGTTTTGCAAGATTGCAGCATGTAAGATCAGCTTACAAAAATGAATTGTATTTCTATATATTAGCAACAAAAAATTGCAAAGTGAAATAAAAAACAGTAACATGTATAATAGCATAAAAAATAAAATACTTAGGAATAAATTTGATAAAAGATATGAAATCATGACCTCCACTGAAAACTACAAAAAAATTGCTGAGAGAAACTAGAAAAGACCTAAATATATTTAGAATTATACTGTGTTCATGGGTTAAAAGACACAACATTGTTAAGAAATCAGTTCTCCACAATTTGATCTACAGATTCAACACAACCTCAATCAAAATCTCAGCAAAAAATTCGCAGAAATTGGCAAACTGATTAAAAAATTCATATGGAAATTCAAAGGACCTAGATTAGCCAAAACAACACTGAAAGAGAAGAACTAATACTCTTTGACTCAAGATTTAACATAGGACTTCCCTGGTGGCACAGTGGTTAAGAATCTGCCTGCCAATGCAGGGGACACAGGTTTGAGCCCTGGTCTAGGAAGATCCCACATGCCACAGAGCAACTAAGCCCATGCACCACAACTACTGAGCCCGCATGCCACAACTACTGAAGCCCATGCACCTAGAGCCCGTGCTCCACAACAAGAGAAGCCACCACAATGAGAAGCCTACACACCACAATGAAGAGTAGCCCCTGCTTGCCACAACTACAGAAAGCCCGTGTGCAGCAATGAAGACCCAACATAGCCAAAAATAAATTAAAAAAAAAAAAAGATTTAACATAAAGCTACAGTAATATGATACTGGTGTCAAAATAAACAATGACATCAATGAAACAGATTCAACAAAGGTGCAAAGGTAATTCAGTGAAGAAGGGACACTCTTTTCAACAAATGGTGCCAGAACAATTGGATATCCATATATAAAAAATGAACTCCAATCCACAGATCACATTATATTTCAAAATTAACTCAAAATAAATCATAGACCTAAATGTAAAAACAAAAACTCTTAAAACATCTAGAAGTAAACATAGGAGAAAAACTTTTGGGGCCTTGGGTTAGGCAAAAGTTTCTTAGATCTGATACCAAAAACATGATCCATTAAAGAACAAAGTAGTAAACTGGACTTCATCAGAATTAGAAACATCTTCTTTGTGAAAGACATTCTTAAGTGAATGAAAAGTCACAAACTGGAAGAAAACCTTTATTTGATAAAGGACTGTACCTGGAATATAAAAAGAACCCTCAAAACGCAATAATAAGAAAACAAACAACTAAATCAAAAAATAGGTGAGAGATTTGAGCAGATACTTCACCAAAGAAGGTATATGGATGGCAAATAAGCATATAAAAAGATGCTCAACACTGAATCAGGGAAATGCAAATTAAAACACAATGAGAATCTACCATATACCTATTAGAATGACCAACGTGAAAACGACCAACCAAGTCTAATGTTGGGAAGGATGTGGAGGAAAGGTACTCATACACTGTTGGTGGGAATGTAAAATGGTACAACCACTTTGGAAAACAGTCATGCAATTTCTTCAAAAGGTAAACATAAACCTACCATATGATCCAATCATTCTACGCTTAGGTTTTTTTTTTTTTTTTTTTTTTTGCGGTATGCAGGCCTCTCACTGTTGTGGCCTCTCCCGTTGCGGAGCACAGGCTCCGGACACACAGGCTCAGCGGCCATGGCTCACGGGCCCAGCTGCTCCGCAGCATGTGGGATCTTCCCGGACCAGGGCACGAACCCGTGTCCCCTGCATCGGCAGGCGGACTCTCAACCACTGCACCACCAGGGAAGCCCCTACGCTTAGGTTTTTAACCAAGAGAAATGAAAGCATATGTCTACACAAAGACTTGTACACAAACATTCATAGCAGTTTTATTTTTAATAGTCCCAAACTGGAAACAAACCCAAACATCCATCAATAGGTGAATGTATAAACCAACTGTAGTTACATCTACACATTGGAAAATTAGTTAGCAATAAAAAGAAAAGAACCACTGATGCAAGTAACAACATAGATGAATCTCAAAATAATTATGCCAAGTAAAAGAAAGATAAAAAAATACGTACTATATAATTCCATTTATATAAAATTCTGGAAAATGCAAACTAATCTATAGTAACAGAAAGCAGGTCAATGGTTGCCTGGGGACAGGGACAGGGGATGTAAGAATTGGATAGGAGAGGGAGATGACAAGGGTGCATGAGGAAACTTGTAGATTATATCCCACATTTCACAGTGTATACATATGTCAAAACATATCAAACAGTAAATATATGCAGTTCATTGGATGTCAATTATACCTCAATAAAGCTATTTTTAAAAAAAGAAATTAGTGCTCTAGAGGGATGAATGAACTTACTGTCCTTTAGGCAAACTTTTTCATATGTATGGTTACTCACAGTGGAGCTTTTGATAAATATTCACCACAATTTAATAATGTTTGCTAAAAAAAAAAAGTCTTGTCAGTCCAGAGAAGTAAACTCCAACTGAGTAATATGTTAGGTCTGGGCAGGGCCTACATAGACAAAGGGTTTGATGATCAGGCTTTGAGGTGTGGGCAGCTCTATCAGGAAACCTGATAAAATGGGGGAATGTGGTTAGGATGACACCTGATGTCAGGCACATGTAGGTGGTCTGGCTGCCACATAGCTTCTAGGGTTGATTCTGTCTGCTGAAATGGGTATGCTCTTCCTTGCTCACTGCTCCAGGCTCATCCTTCTTAGTGCAGAGAATGGCCTTCTTAAATGGAAAAGAATCGGGCTCCAGAGAGAGAAATAACTGCTTATCTGCTATAGCTTCTCTGTAATCACTCTCCCTCTGTCAACTTTCAGCTCACACCTCTGCCAAGCATCAGCCTCTCTGGGCATCTTGCTCTCCCTCAAACTGGTACCAGATATGGGCCAGCTCACACATCCCCCAGAGCAGTACCAGGGCCTGGGGTGCATATGAAGCCAAACCTTTGTTTAAAGACCTATATCCCAATAGCACTGACACCGGCCATGTGACTCCAAGGTTTGAAGTAAGGAGCAGGAACTTCAGATCATCATAAAAGGGCCAGACCCAGTAACCTGGCACAAGTTTCTCTAGCTTTTAATCAGTAGTAGAGCTGCTGTCTGTGATCAAGCACTGTGTACTTGTTGCCTACTCACCACTCTCTTGTCTGGAACCCTCTGGGTAAACACCTTGTAGAGTCGCCAGCTCTTTCCCAGAATGGGGCCAAACACAAGGGAGGTCCCAATGCACAACATGGACAGTCTTACCTATAGGCGGAAAGGGACAGAAGCAAGAGGCATGAGAGAATCCTTTGTGGTTCTCCATACATTCTGATCTGTAAAGCCTCAGTCCACAGAGGACCTGGGGCAGAAAGTGGACTTCACTGACTCAGTGTTCCAGGGATTGCCTCTGAAAGTGCCCACAGCAAGGATAAATGTAACCACTACCCACATCACATTCAAAACAAAATTGAAGACTTCACCTACCTGAATGAGAGTTTCCATTGAGCTTCCTGCTAAAGCGCCTTGATGGTGAATCCCAAAGAGGTAAGCGCTACTGTAAGTCAGACAACTGCCCAATAAGGTCACAATGTTCAGATTGGGACTGGACATCTTTACAATCCTATAGGAAACCAGGAAGAAAGACACCTACAGTCATGTCATTTGCCCTGGGAGTGGGCCAGAATAATCACCAATGCAGCCTCAGGGTAAAAGGCCATAGGGAAGAAACCACTTTACAAATCTGTGAAAAATTTAAATAACATTTTTTAAAAAGTAAATAAATATGACTTATTTAAATTTATTTTCAAAAAGAACTAAATTCTGGTATTTCTTGCTTGTATAACTCCAAGTCTTTTAAAAGAAGCTCACTTCCTAAAAACAGGTGGTATCAGAGAAGAGTTAGGATTTTTCCATGATGTTTATGGTTGCTAAGAGACTGCTCTATGCAGCCTAGTGAATAAATAACTAGCAGGTAGATACCTAAAGAGATACAGTTTGGAGCCTTTAAAAATGAGCTGTAAGGTAAACTACTATTTGAAAAAAACAGACAAAGATACCACAAAAAAAGAAAATTACAGGCCAATATCACTAATAAACATAGACGCAAAAATCCTCAACAAAACATTAGCAAATCGAATCCATCAATACTTTAAAAGGATCATACACCATGATCAAGGGGGATTTATCCCAGGGATTTTTCAATATTCACAAATCCATCAGTGTGATACACCACACCAATAAACTGAAGAATAAAAACCATACGATCATCTTAATAGATGCAGAAAAAGCTTTTGATAAAATTCAACAGCCATTTATGATAAAAACTCTCCAGAAAGTGGGCATAGAGGGAACCTACCTCAACATAATAAAGGCCATATATGACAAACCCATAGCTAACATCATACTCAAGGGTGAAAAGCTGAAAGCACTTCCTCTAAGATCAGACAAGGATGGCCACTCTCACCACTTTTATTCAACATACTTTTGGAAGTCCTAGCCACAGCAATCAGAGAAGAAAAACAAATAAAAGGAATCCAAGTTGGAAAAGAAGAAATAAAACTGTCACTGTTTGCAGATGACATGTTACTCTACATAGAAAATCCTGAAGATACTACCAGAAAACTACTAGAGCTCATCAATGATTTTGGTAAAGTTGCAGGCTACAGAATTAATACACAGAAATCTATTACATTTCTATACACTAACAATGAAAGATAAGAAAGAAAAATTAAGGAAACAATCCCATTTACCACTGCATCAAAAAGAATAAAATATCTAGGAATAAGCCTACCTAAGGAGGCAAAAGACATGTACTCCAAAAACGATAAGACACTGATGAAAGAAATCAAAGATGACACAAACAGATAGAAAGATGTACTGTGTTCTTGGACTGGCAGAATCAATATTGTCAAAATGACTATACTACCCAAGGCAATCTACAGATTTAATGCAATCCCTATCAAATCACCAATGGCATTTTTCACAGAACTAGAAAATTTTTTTTAATTTGTATGGAAACACGAAAGTCCCTGAATAGCCAAAGCAATCTCGAGAAAGAAAAATGGAGCTGCATGAATCAGGCTCCCTGACTTTAGACCATACTACAAAGCTATGGTCCTCAAAACAGTATGATACTGGCACAAAAACAGAAATATAGATCAATGGGACAGGATAGAAAGCTCAGAAATAAACCCACACACATATGGTCAATTAATGACATGACAGAGGAGGCAAGAATATACAATGGATATACACACTCTTCAATGGGTGATGCTAGTAAAACTGGACAGCTACATGTAAAAGAATGAAATTAGAACATTCTCTAACACCATACACAAAAATAAACTCAAAATGGATTAAAGACCTAAATGTAAAACCAAATATCATAAAACTCCTCAAGGAAAACATAGAACACTCTTTGACTTTAATCACAGCAATATATTTTTGCATCCGTCTCTTAGAGTAATGGAAATAAAAAGAAAAAGAAACAAATGGGATCAAATTAAATTTAAATGGTTTTTCACAACAAAGGAAACCATAAACAAAACAAAAAAGACAACCTACAGAATGGGAGGAAATATTTGCACATGATGCGACCAACAAGGGATTAATCTCCAAACTATACAAATACCTCATACGGATCAATAACAACAACAACAACAAAAACCAAACAACACAATCAAAAAATGGGCAGAAGATCTAAAAAGACATTTCTCCAGAGAAGACATACAGATGGCCAAAAGGCACATGAAAAGATGCTCAACATCGCTAATTATTGAAGAAATGCAAATCAAAACTACAATGAGGTTATCACCTTACACCAGTCAGAACGGCTATCATCAAAAAGTCTACAAATAATAAATGCTGGAGAGGATATGGAGAAAAAGGAACCCTCCTACAGTTGGTGAGAATGTAAATTGATACAGCCACTATGGAGAACAGTATGGAGGTTCCTTAAAAAACTAAAAATAGAGCTACCATATGGTCCTGCAATACCACTCCTGGGCATATATCTGGAGAAAACCATAATTTGAAAAGATACATGTACCCCAGTGCTCACTGCAGCACTATTTACAATAGCCAGGGCATGGAAGCAACCTAAATTTCCATTGGCAGGTGAATGGATAAAGAAGATGTGGTATGTATATATGATGGAATGTTAGTCAGCCATAAAAAAGAATGAAATAATGCCATTTGCAGCAACATGGCTGGACCTAGATTATCATACTAAGTGAAGTAAACCAGACAGAGAAAGACAAATATCATATGATATCACTTATATATGGAATCCAATTAAAAATGATGCAAATGAACTTATACACAAAACAGAAATAGACCCACAGACATAGAAAACAAATTTATGGTTACCAAAAGGGAAAGGTGGGGAGGGATGAATTAGGAGTTTGGGATTAGCATATACACACTACTATATATAAAACAGATAACCAACAAGGACCTACTGTACAGCATAGAGACCTATACTCAATATTTTGTGATAACCTATAAGGGAAAAGAATCTGAAAAAGAATATATATAATACATATATTAATATATACATGTATGTATAACTGAATCACTTTGCTGTACACCTGAAACTAACACATTGTAAATCAACTATACTTCAATAAAAAAATAAAATTAAAAAATAAAATAAAATGAGCTGTAAGGTAAACTACTTTTTGACAAAACTTTGGAGAATGTTTCATCCACTATTTACTTTATTTGACATGTAAATTGTTTTCCTCTCTCTGTTTGACCAAGAGAGGAAGAGAAAGCAGGGATTGAAAGCAGGAAATTTGGGAATGGTTGTTTCTTAAGTGATTTTTAAATGAGGTTATAGAGCACTTTGAAGATTACAGGGAAATGTGGACAATGACAGTCTGACACAAATCCTGGGCACCAGTAGAGGCTTGGGACAAGGCAGAAATGTGTGAATTGGTTAACCTAAGGAGAAAAGCAGGTTTACATTGGACTGTGACTGATAACAATTAAGAAATAAAAATAACTAGTAACAGTTAAGAAATAATGTAACTGTACTTAAGAGTTTCAGTCTAAACAGTGTATTCTGCATAAATGCAATATTTATACAACTAGTCATTTGGTAATTATACGTTTATTTTTTTCTTAAACTCACCTAAATTTTCTTTAATTAATTAATTAATTATGGCTGCATTGGGTCTTTGTTGCTATGTGCGGGCTTTCTCTAGCTGCGGCAAGCGGGGGCTACTCTTCATTGTGGCGTGTGGGCTTCTCATTGCGGTGGCTTCTCTTGTTGTGGAGCACGGGCTCTAGGCGTGCAGGCTTCAGTAGTTGTGGCACACGAGCTCAGTAGTTGTGGCTCGCGGGCTCTAGAGCGCCGGCTCAGTAGTTGTGGCGCATGAGCTTAGTTGCTCCACGGGATCTAAGGGAAGATGTGGGATCTTTCTGGACCAGGGCTCAAACCCATGTCCCCTGCACTGGCAGGCGGATTCTTAACCACTGCGCCACCAGGGAAGTTCCCTATATGTTTATTTTTAAATAGTAACAAAGGGGGAAAGCATTCTTATCTATGTACCTGGATTACCTGGCTGACCACCTTAAAGGCCAGAGCGAAGGCAAAACCAGCTACTTAGTACAGCCTACTTTAAAGACAGGCAACGTACCTAGGAGGCATTAAACAAAAGTTTGGCAGTGCTGTACTTAGAACCATCACAACCACCATTGGCCCAGCTTGATTACTTCATAGCCGGCAACATAATTACGTCCACACATACAAGAACACCAAACCTCTGCCTGCGACTCAGGCCCCAAGTACGGTCACCGTAAGCCAATGAGTCCAGCTGAACCTCACTTAGTCTTGGAGCAAAAATCTTGATTTTTTTCTCTTCCTCTAAAAGTGAGAACAACTGCTTTGTAAAATGGGGATAATAATAATAGACGCTCCCCTCCTGCCCAAACCAAAGAGTTGTGAGGATTCAAAGAGGCAATGTAGCCAAGTGTGTGGCACAAGGCCCAGCATGTAGTAAGCATGTTGCCAACACAGCTGATAACTGTTAACCTCATCATCTTCCAGGCTTTAGAAACCTGGGAATCATCTTTTCCCTCTTCCTTTTCCTTCTCCACCTCTTTCTTTATCACCTCTACCCAATCAATTGCCAATTTCTTTCACCTGTTATTTCAAAATCTCTCTGAGCTATCCCTCACCCTCCATTCGTGCTACCACATTTATCCAGGATACAGTCACGTTAGGAGAAATGGAACTGGAGTCGGGTATGAGATGGGAATCCTGGCTCAGCCAGTCACAGCTGTGTGACTTTCATCACCTCATTTAACTAGTCTAGGTTCCTGCTTCCTCATTTGTGAAATGAAGATAATATCTTCTTTTGTATCCACCCACAGGGTACTGTGAGGATCAAATGAGGTGTGTGCTAAAACTCTCTGAATACTCTAAGGAGATGCAAAAATGTTAATCTTTAGATTTTTTGGTGTAAGCTTCAGCTCTCTGTAACACCAGTTTTTCCCTGTCCTAATACATCTTGCATATTACTTTCACACTTATTTTCTTAAAATACCACCTTCATCACTTACCAAGAGAGCTACATGTATAAAGAACAATTTTCTATTGTTTACCTTAAGTCTCCT